ATCGTCTATCGTCAAATTTGAACCATTTGTGACTATAAATACTGCTATAGATCAATCATATGTCTAAGATTTTCAATTTTATATATGTACAGTACAGTATGCTAAATCAGTTTTCGTAACTTACCAAACTGCGTCAGCATGGGAGAAAGTCCTCGTTTAAAATAATCCCAGCGAAATCCATCAACGGAAACCACAATCAAAGGTTTCCTTTTAGCGCTATCGATTTTGTTAGATGAAAAATTGTAGTTCATATCGTTTGATTAGAGCACATAGAAATGGGTAAATCGGAACTGACTAGTAAAAGATTTTGTAAACGTCTGACAATATCGTAGAAGGAAAATGGGCAGTAGCTTAAGATAGTATCTACCTGCAAATTGAAGCATCTATGGAAGGTGGACCACTATTAACAGGTATCGTAGAGCGTGGAGGAGATGCTGTGAATTGATTACTACTATTGTTATTACTATTATTATTGCCTTGATTACTTTGGTCAAAGCCTAGAAAGAGTAATGTTCTTAATAAGAGGCCAACGATAATCATTCAGCTAGACCATAGTATTATAAAAGCTCAAGCATCTACAGTAACTGATCTAATTCCTAACCTTTATCACTTGAAAACCAACCAATAACAAAGCCTCCAGTAAATGCCAATAACAGGGCGAGAGCGCTTAAAACCTAAGCAGGAAACAAATTTGATGTCCGTTTAGTAACATTGATTTTATGCTATTGGCAATAATGCATTTAAAATCACATCTAAAAATATCAGGTGGACTATACGATCTACATTATTTGCATGATGAATTCAGGAAAAGTTTTGTCATAGGACATGAGATAGCTTAATTACTGCTATGATGGTTTCGTTGATCTTCAGACCAGTTCAGTCAAGCACCAATATTAGAACAGTCATAAAATAAAAATGAGATCGACTTTGCTAAGATTCATTCCAGCTTTTGAGACAATCAACTGTCATTAATCACTAGAAACCTCTATTAATTCATTATGCAACAGTTTAATTGTTGCTATTAGGATAAAGTTAACCTTTTAAGTTATTTAATCGGTTAAAACTGGAATGGCCATAAATGAGGCAGATTGCTGAAACTTTTTCGAATTTCTTAATCACTAACTGCTGGATTATTAATAGCTCATTTAATGCAGCATGTGTTAGCTTAATTGCTGCTACGATGGCGATGTCAGGAATGTAATCGCTTATAGTGCCAATGGAGAATAATTTAACAAGCAAATTAAATCAGTTTGATTATACGATGTATTTCTGATAGTAAAAAAGTAATCAATACTAACTTATCCTCTTGAGAAATCTTATAACGCAGCAGAAAGGTACCGTACTATAATTTAAATGCTGTTCTGGCGATATTAAATTCTTAGCTAACGCAATCCACTGCCGGTACCAATAATAAATTAATGTTCGTAGGTCAAAAGTTTGGTTTGATGTTAAAACAAATCTTGAAACTGTCAAAAGTTACACAGATACAGCAACCCATCTAAAGCAACAAATGTTAGTTCCATGACTGTCATGATAATACTCTTAATTTTCTATTTCTGTTGGTTTAATTATTAACTGATGCTAATATCAATTGAAAACAGATCGATTTTGTCTAATCTCTCAAAGCATTCAAATTTTTTATAACCATTAGCAGAAAGTTTTCATACCTAGTAATCAGCTACCTATAAGCATTGATAGCATTTAGAATTTAAATGAATATGCTCAATCCCCAAGGTGTAATAAAAACAAGGTAAATTTCTTCGTACTAACCATCATAAACGCCGTTTTACGTCTGTTTCTCAAACGATATTTTTTCTCATATTCTTCTATATTACCATTTTTATCCTATGAAAATGAAAATGGAGAATCAAAATCTGTTTTAAATATAACCAATAGAGAACTTATTATGTTCATTGTCGCTGTTATCCAAAGCACCTTCTATTGCATATAGAAATCTTGTCGAATTTTGAGAGAAGCAAATATCAAATAGCATCTATTTTTGTAGCTTATATACAATAAATTTGCATAGAAATTTTAGCACTATATTTGCTCCATGAAGTATGCCGTATGTACTTGAACTGCAGAATATGAAAAAGTAAATTTTAACTAGCGTAATTGCATACTTCTAGGTACACTACTAGTAATCTAAATTAATCTGAAAGGGATCAGATTAGAAACATGGTGTTCTGAGAATTGGATAAAAAGCGGGTGGGCAAAATCAGTTACTTCGATAGTGATAATGATAGAAAAATGATGATTATTATGTAACTGAGGTTAAAATAAGATAAAGATAAGCAATCAATTTCATAATTATGAATTAAATATCGCTTGTGTTTATAGCCATCTAAATTAATCCAAATTAGACGTAACCCGACATACAGTACAAGGGAGAGTAAAACTAGTATGCAAAATCAGATTACTTTAATTTATGACAATCTTATGATAGCGATAGAGAGATGGAAATTATCTCAGCTAAAGTGAAGTTAATCAAGATAAATTATGTAGTAAGTATACAAATAGATAGTAAATTGGCCTGTAGTTTTTTACCACTTGCTGTTCTAACAATTCAAAGTAATTAGGAAAGACTATTACATATTTGTAGATTAATATCATCAACTGACTGATTACCATGTTATCGGGCATTTTCTCCTTCCAATGCTTTCTCTAATAATATTATGGTAGTCTATCTAGGTAGCTGTATCAACTCTAATTTGGAACAGTACTTTCGTTGGCAGAATAGATTAATCAATCAATCCGATAACGTCATTTATTATATTAATTAATTATTAGTACCAATTATTTATTATGCTTCGATTTGTTTACATATAAACAACTTAGAGCTTTAGTTATTTATAGGGCATTTAGATTGTTACATATCGTTCGTTAACGATAATAAGGTAGAGCGGTAAATAACCGATGAAAGAATGATTAATTTAAGTGGGAGTATAATAATAGACGCTGATGATGAATTGGTTAAATATTCGACAGGATAAGGACTCATCCTACAAGTATTCTATGCAGGAATATAATTAGCATATCGATGCATGAGCTAGGTAGGGTATGACAAAAATCAACGTTAAATGCGTTATTTACTTAAAAATAGCACGTGTGTAAACCTCCATAGAATCGATCAAGTAATCCGCTAATTTGTTCTCTACTCCTTGCATATTAACACCAGGTAAAATTTCATTATAATTGCTATAATGGCTTGATGTTATTAGCATAATCTCTTCATCATTTGGTTATTACTAATTAAATGATAATTAATGTCATTGATGTAATTTATCTTGGAGAATGCTTGAATCATGTTTGTACTGTAAACAATGACCACCGAAGAAATTCCCTTCCTTAGAATGTCCTCAAGCTCACGTACGACGAAGACATTAAGAATTGAATGTAATAAATGAGTGGCAACTATCAACTCTTTCGATCAGAGTCTGACACTAGGCTCAGCAACTTGCTAGTTCTTCCAGTAATTCTACTTTGATTATTTTGCTTTCTATCGGAGCAATTTCTCGATTTGGTCTTAATTACAATCCGTTACTGTAAAAACGTTTAATTAAATGACTTTGCTTTAACTATCTTTAAGATAATAAGTAAGGAAATAAGTTAAGATTTGACTATGAGCATCCTATCCTTGCAGGACAGATATCTTACAAGATAACATTGCATAAAAACATTAAAAATATTAGGCGGCTATCATTCTTTGTGTTGCTACTTTGTTGAAAAGAAGAAATGAATGCTAGACTCTGACTTTAAAATCTGTTCGCGTACCTGTTGTGTATTTGTCTACGAACCGAGTCAATCAAAACAAGAATACCTTACACTACTAGTATTAACCAAGTCTGAGAATCAGATATACGTACGCGTACCAATTAAGTCATTTCTAATTTTTAATTCACTGCAATGTATAAATGCAATAAATGAGTTTTACGTGGCTTAGAGTTATTGCAATATGACTATATTGAATGAATTTTTCAGAAAAATCATTTACACTCTTACCATCGATTAAAAATAAATATAAATATTTTTAACACGAAAGAATATCCTCAAATATCGTCAATGCCTATGCGCGAGTTTTGAATCATTGAGGTGATTTAATTCATATCAAGCTACCTTTGAACGAGTATTAACGTTCTGCCTACAGCTACAATATTAGGTATATAAAAATAGGACACCCTATATTTCAAGTTCCTTTCTCAACATTATATTCTATGCAGTACCATGTATAATATTATAATATCTTTATTAGTCGCCAAAACATGCTTTAAAGCTAACGGAACCTTCCTAAATAGAAGAAATCTCCTCATCAAACTAGAAAGTATGTGAAAACTTTCATCAATAAGTAGATATATATATAAAAAATGAGGTATCTTATGCCTAAAATTTCTTTTGTTAACACCATATTCCGTACCTAACCTTATGTAATGCTGTATTATTGATGAATCGAAGAAATGCCCTTATCATACTAGAAATATGCCAAAATTTTAATCAGTAAGTATGATAGCTAGTAAAGAGTGTTAAGAATCATGCTGATATTTCAAATTAGAGTAAGCAGTTTGAAACAAAATAAAGCTACTTTATTTCAGATTCTTGTAAGGAGTTATTATACATCTTACATCTTCCTTGACTACAATCCTCTCAAGATCATAAATATGCTAACTGATAGTCCACTTACGGAATATCAACGTATAGAAAAAAGTACAGATGAAATTCTATTCGATAAATTAGCTAGTTCGATAATTAATCTTAGCATAGCCCTGATTAAGTAGGCTGTTATTTATCCTACTAAACATTAGGAATAAATACTGTTTAGTTAGGTGATAATGAATACGTACGATTACTACCATGAAATAAAATCATAGTTGCAGCTAATCTACGTCCAAGCTACTAAGTCAACGACGTGTATTAAATAGTTATTTTAATAAGTGGGCCATAAATCAGTTGGAGAATCGCTCTCAATCATATCCTGCAACTGTATAGGCATATTGGGGAAGAAGTTAAGACCAGTCAACTTCTCAATTTCTCGAACGCTGGCCACATGGTGAAATAGGTTAGAGTGATAAACCTGTTGGTACAAAATAGGAAAAAATCGAATTGAATTAATGTTACTTTCAGCCTAGTTTATCCATCTTTTCTTGTATTAAAATAGATAACAGTGCATAAATACTACAAAAGACCATTTTAAAGGAGGAATATTAAACATCAGCATCCTCTCGTTTCATATCATCTCTATTTTCTTAATTAATGAAACTTATCAGTCATATCTGAACTCAACTATAGCATAAACATAGTTGTTGGCACATATGGCTAAGTGCAAGGACTGATGATTTAAATATTTGGTGTGTTATGATCTTGGTACTAGCATCGAATTCGCCATAAAAGGAAGGAGATCAATAGAATGAGCTGCTTATTTTTCAAGCATTTCCTTAGTATTTTGTGTACTACAATATTCTAGATTAACATATGGGCAAATATAGAGAAAATTCATCCACAGGCAGATAATTGAAATTTTTCTATGCACAGAAATGAAGGAAGGAGAGCTAATGGGATTGATAACGTATTGTTGAGTGTTACTGTAGCTAAGTTATTTGCAAATCATTCTAGATAGATATGAGCGTAGATTTGTACCTTACCCGTATTTATGCAAGAGACTATAAAATAGACATCATGAGTTATCATGCTTAAGGGTTAAATTATATTAGCAATCACACGAAAAGAAATCTATAAAAACTTATTCTTCAACACCTCTCTACTATGTTAGCGATAAGCTATGATCCTTTTAATAACTAGCTTACCTGGCACTGTGGTGTAAAACTATCAATATGAGGTAAAACGAAAGCAATAACGTCGAGGTGGCCCTTGCATGGTGAGGAAGTGATGACAGAAGAATTGCACAAGACTTGATCAGAATCTCGACATTTGGCAATAATCTTGTAGAAGTGAGTTGGAATGACTACACCACCAATTTCACCTTTAAGCCAACTTAAAAATATAGAAAACATTCTCCATTAATTATTCTGATATAGATTTTATGGTTCAAGATTCGATCGTCGGTAATTGAGCTAATTATGTAACTAAAATAGGAAAAAGTTAACAGTAACTTACTAGGATGGATCACTCCACACGGTTTTAGGATCTGCCTTGACAATTGAGCCAGAAATGATGTAAACACCACCGAAAATTTTGGCCCAATCACGGCTTAGTTTTTCCAGATCTAGCCACGGACCTGTCAAAATTTGAAAATAATGTTTCATTTCCAGCCTTAAGTATTTATTAAATCTTTTGCAATCTATGACTTTGAAGCTGCAGTTCTTATCGTACCAATATAATGAAATATCACGGGTTATTATAAATATAAGGAATAAATTACCGGCATTGAAAGGATATTTTTGAGGAGCAATATTGGACAAGAGGAAAGAATTGCCTTGTGCTTCCAGATCGAAACTCAGTCCGCCTAGAAATGAAATTAAATTAGGATTACTAAATATGAGGAAGGGTTGCTATCTTTTCATTTCCGTTCACTTTAGACTATGAAAAGATATTCTAACAGAATACTATAATTTTCGTTTCTCACCATTAGGAGCTAAATGGCCGCGATTATATCCAGATCTATAATAGTTTGAGCAATTAGATGCTTGAGTAGCAATATTTAAACGAATATCACGTCGGAAGCAATCCTTTCTACTTAGTGGTCGCAATGTTTCCTAATAAAGTGCAGTAAAGCAGATGATGAGATGTTGTTTGTTAATCGAATGTGGGAAGAGTCCTTAAATCAAGTTAAATGAAGGTGAATGGATAAAAGATTCGATCATGCTCCTATAGAATAAGTTTATGCCTTTAATATCAACTTACCACATCAGTTAGATGATAGCCAGTAAATATTGGCACACGATAAGTATTGCTATAACCGGTAATAAAATGCTTTTGATACAGAGTACAGGTATCCATCGATTTTCGGAATCTTGGTATACCCCACGGGAAATTACGATTTTCAGATTGCAGTTCTGTTTAGTTAATGATGTTATCAATATAATATATTAATTGTCAATTTTATGATAGGAACTTTGGGTATACAACTTATATGCGGTATTAAGAACCTTCTTTTGGGGTCATTATTAGGCCTTTATTGAATAAAGGAACATTGATCGTGGCCTATAATCGTCACAAAATAAAAATGTGCTAGTTACGGTGACATAATTCAATCTATTCAAGTTTAGATCTAGCCTCCTCCACTTTCTGTGATGGTTTACTAAGATAGAAGAATATTTATCACGATTTATCATTAAAATAGGGACTTTACCTACTACAACAACTCCAAAAGGCGTGAGAATAGATGATACAGTATGCATTAATTATATATTATTAAGCTAGCCCTGATGTATCATAAATTCAACTTACTTTGCAATATGGACATACACATTCTGAACAGTTTGCTCTTTCATCAAAAACCATCTGATCGGTAGGTACTCTGCACACTTTACCTGCTTCGCCAAGATTTGGATCAGTAACAACTACGGGATTGGTTAAGATACTATTCAAACGTCCCATGTTCCCATCATTCTTAGCCGGTTTTACACCCAGTAAGGCTATATAAATTATGTTGCCAACAATCAGAATTTTAATCTTCTATTCTATAAAATTCTACGGTCTAACATTGCCTCAATGTCGTTGTTATTTTAACTGGTTAATGAGAATATGTTGCTAAAGGAATGATCCTACTAATTATTAAAGTACCTGCCATAACGTTGTATAATTCAATATTCTTGAACGGTTTAATTACTTTGGCTTTCTTGAAGCCAGGACCAGCAGCCATGAAGATTGTCCTCATATCAGTATCTAAATTATCCCAGCCATGGTTAGCACCGTTACAAAATGTATATCTTGGATTATATCTGTGTGTTCCAATTACATGCAGTGATGTGAGCATCATATCCAATAGAATGAAGGAAAAGTAAAGGCATTAAGGAAGTATAAAGACGAAAGTCCAACCTATTATCCGAATTAGCATCATTTATAAAACTTACGAAGGTCTCACAAGCCAATTCTCATTAGGTAAAATAATTACATCCGGAATACGACTACATAAAGAAATCAAAGCAAATTCAAAAATAAGTGTTACCACGAAATTTAAGATGCATAAGATGAAGATTGATTAAGAACATAGTTATATTCTTTAATCACTAATTTAAGATATCCTATCGAATATATGGTAATTGATAGCATGAATTTACATCCTAAAATGATTTAATCTTTCAATTTCAACAGGGATAAATATTAAACATAGAAAAAGATGGAACGCTATGTTATCAGAGCTTCACGATATTCGTTATGATACCATAAAATTAAAGTACGAGCTCTGCCATCTACCAAGTTAAGTTACCTGTTATTATCATAATGGAATCGAACAGGCATATCCTCCTTCTTATAAACTCTCCAGAATTTGCTCTTACACTTTGACATAAAAAATTGAATTTTAAATTAATAATTATAGCTAGCAAAGTAAGAATCTACGAAATTCCCAAAGAAGTCATAATCTAGTTATTATGATAAATATAACATACTCTTAACTTTTCAGCAATTTCAGTTGCATTTCCTGTATTAAGTAATGGAGCAATAAGTTATTAAAAAATCCTGCAGATATTAAAAATGCAGGAAGAATAATTACAGGTATCAAATTAACTTTACCTCCTTTAACACGAATTCCTCCAAAAGTTCCGCGATTAATGATATCGTTGGTTGTAATATTGATAAACTAGAATAACAAGAGATCTTTAGCGATATTTTTATGAAGATTAGTCTAGCTTTTTATTTATTCTCGGTTTATCCAATTCCACTTACTTGATCGAGGTAAATCATCCTTGAACAACATGTTTTTCTCATACCTAATTGAAAGATAGCATTGCACAACATTAAATCCGGTCACCAACTATTCAACCTTTTCAATTAGAGATCAGGATACAGTAAATCAATCTTTCATTTCACTTTAATTAATTTTATATTACTTATAGTCAAAAACAAGAATAAACTAACCATGGTCTGAGATAACAATAATATAACACAAT